AATAATTATATTGTCAATATAATATTTGCTTCAATACGTTTTTAATCAATATAATATTTTTAATATAAGTGTTTAATCATTAAACTCAATTAAATAACTAATTTGGTCACGTGTTTTTTTAATGACTATACCGTACTAAGTACTTAATATTAATAAACTTTAAATTGAAGCTGTCCAAAACTATTTTAAAAAAATTTAAATAAAAAAATAAACCTATTCCGAAGGTGCTCCTGCTTGACATTTAATTTAAAATACTTACTCCAAAACCTTGAACTTTACCACCTGTACTCTGGTCAACTGTCTGAATGGACAACGGAGATCAACAAACGGAGAGAGATAAATAATCCATAAATTAATTCTAAAACTTAATCCTTTTTTTTTCTCGTGGTGGAAAATATCTTAAGGTTTCTCATCCTAACAATACTTTCCTATCATTCAAACGAAATTTTAATAAAAATCTTAATAAATTATTTCAGATGTATACTCTTAATTTTAATAGTATGATAATAAATTTTTTCATTAAATAACTCCTTTTAATGAGATATTTTATTTTAATCAGAATAATAATAATAATAATAACAATAATAATAATATTATTATTATTAATATTAATATTATTATTATTATTATGATGATTGAACTCAAAATCTTCTTTGAAATGAAAAGAAATGAGAAGAAGAATCCTTCCTTTTATCAATATCTCTTTATAATTACAATTGTTAAACAAACATTTTTTTATAATACATTATATTCACCTTGAAATATGATACACCTAATCTTCTTGAATTAGTCATAAGTGCTACGAGTTGTTTTGCCTTTAAAATATTTGACAATACTAGTTTTCACCCTTTTGATTTGGGAAAGGGCCACGAGGAAGTGTCTAGTGGTTGGTACAAACAACTATTTTTATTTTTTTTGTTTTGTCAAAGGATATAAGATTCGTACAAACAACCTAGACTATAGTCTTTTTTTAATTAACGGATCATTATCACCTATTAAAATTAAAAGAAATAGAACTTTGAATAACATTACGTACGTCATGGCACAATATTCCGTTAAACACGGACATGGCGAAGATTATCCTAAAATCTGTAATGGCTCAACGTTCCGTTAATACTATACACAACATGTATTCAATGTATATTGAGAAAATTAATATTATTTTTATTTTAAATAAGGAAACAATATTTAAATAAATTTTTTTCATTTCTTTTTGGTTGGAAGAACAGTAAGTCCTTTGGGTGTAAAATTTATTCGTAAAAGTATAATATTACAAGGTCTTATGTTATTAATTAATCTTCGTTTAGAGTGATAATAATTGATTATTTGATGGTTAGGTTATAACAGAGAGGACCGTTGGTTACATAAAGTCCTCTTATATAAGTTGTTAAATCTAATCATCATTATCTTTCCTCTTACGAAACTATCGGTATATTCGTGTAAAAAAATACCTAAAATTATATATAACTTAATCTTTAATTATATAAATCAAGTAATAAATTTAAACACACATTATATATAGCATAACATAAGAATAAGAAAAAGAAGGTTAAATTTTCGTATAGTGGTTTTTAACTCAGTAAACACTCGTATTTAAAATATTTATTTTTAACAAACCAATATTTTTAACCGTCACTACATAATTTTATTACAGATTATAATTTAATATTTTTTACTTATGCAGTATCTATACTAATACTGATATTTCAAGTTTTATTAAAATTACATCANAAAATTAAAAGAAATAGAACTTTGAATAACATTACGTACGTCATGGCACAATATTCCGTTAAACACGGACATGGCGAAGATTATCCTAAAATCTGTAATGGCTCAACGTTCCGTTAATACTATACACAACATGTATTCAATGTATATTGAGAAAATTAATATTATTTTTATTTTAAATAAGGAAACAATATTTAAATAAATTTTTTTCATTTCTTTTTGGTTGGAAGAACAGTAAGTCCTTTGGGTGTAAAATTTATTCGTAAAAGTATAATATTACAAGGTCTTATGTTATTAATTAATCTTCGTTTAGAGTGATAATAATTGATTATTTGATGGTTAGGTTATAACAGAGAGGACCGTTGGTTACATAAAGTCCTCTTATATAAGTTGTTAAATCTAATCATCATTATCTTTCCTCTTACGAAACTATCGGTATATTCGTGTAAAAAAATACCTAAAATTATATATAACTTAATCTTTAATTATATAAATCAAGTAATAAATTTAAACACACATTATATATAGCATAACATAAGAATAAGAAAAAGAAGGTTAAATTTTCGTATAGTGGTTTTTAACTCAGTAAACACTCGTATTTAAAATATTTATTTTTAACAAACCAATATTTTTAACCGTCACTACATAATTTTATTACAGATTATAATTTAATATTTTTTACTTATGCAGTATCTATACTAATACTGATATTTCAAGTTTTATTAAAATTACATCAACTTATTGAAATTATTATTTATATATTATTTATTATTTATGTATGTGAATATTTTAAACTTTATATTTTTATCAATATTATATGTTAAATTCAGTCCCAGATAGCCTATCTAGACATTGTTTGTGTTATAATTTTTACCTTTAAGAAATAATATCAATATAACATATGACATAAAAAAAGATATAAAATCTGAAATGATATATTAAACACAATAAAAACTGTTTATAAAGAAATACTATGTAAAGTACTAAAATATTTTTTATTTTTAAATATTAATATTAATAGCATATTAAATATTGCACATGTAAAACTATTGAATATTTTATTTTTATAATAAATTTAAACTATAACTTTAAAAAACTAATTTAATAAAAAAAAATTAATGTGATGGTTAGAAAATCTCCGGGAGTAAAATAATTTATCTTAAATACATGTGTTTCCTACCAATAAATCAATTATAGCTTTATAATATTTTTTTGTATTTTAATTTAAATTTTATTTTAACTTTACCTTATTAAAACATCACTTTTTATTGTTAAAACGGTCAATCATTCAGTCCGGATTCACTACAGGTTGATCACTTAAAACATTTAGGTCAATCATTCCCACATTTAGGTCCGGTTCGGTTCGGTCAATCATTCAATCATTTAGGGAGTCAACTTCACTTGACTCATTTATTAACAAGCTGAAAAAATTAAAACTTGGTTCGACCCATCACGGGTTGGTGGATTAAATGAGTTGGCTTACTAACTCACTTAATTACAAGTTTTTTTTTAATTTAAAAAAATATGTTTTTTTTAATTAAAATTTAAATAATTTCATTTTAAAATGATGTTAAACTCCAAAAATAATTTGAAATAAAAAAATTAGCATACAACTCAAATGTAATATAAAAGCAAGCTCAAAAAGTGAATAAACAAGTTTATAATATTGATAATTTTTATACTATTGATAATTTTTGTGTTACTTATCCCTTTATAAGATTAAAGTCTTGAATAGATAAATTTATAATATTTTGCTGTCTTGAAACATTTTTTTCTTTATTCCCATTTACAATACAATAAAAAAAACCAACCAGCTCATCATGGGTTCAACGTTAGTAAGTCGGGTTGAAAATTGGTCCATATAAATTTTTATTTTTTTTAAACCTAAATGGATTTGAACCCGTGGTAGACCGGGTTGACCTACGGATTTTAATCCATTTTGACAACACTACTTTTTACATTAAATTATTTTTAAATTATATTTTATAGATTATTCTCTAAATATACTAATATACTACCAAATTTATTTTATCAAGTAACTTTTCTCTTTCTAGTTCTCCATTTAAACAATCTCATTTCTCACTCAATTTCACATTTTTTTATCGTTTCCAACCCATTAGTCGAAACAATATCTTAGGTTAATAATCTTAAACTATGAAAAATCCATATAATATTGATATTTAAGCTTACTAGATAGGTTAATAAATAAAATTTAATTTTTCAATCACTCAGAATGAAATTAGTAATACTAAAAGAGGAGTATAAAAGTCCTGTAAATATATTTATTTATTCTTAAATTAAAAGACGATAACTATTAGTAAAAATAAATAATATTTAAATATTTTATCTGAAAAAAGAAATCGTCTCTGGTTACTACACGAGTATCATTACCATAAAAAGGATGGAACAACAACGGCAAATATAGTTTATCAATTAAATAATAAATTTGAACATTTGAATAATACGATGAGTAAAATAAATAAAATGAAAAAAAAAATTAACATAATAACAATTGTTTGGACCTTCACATGTAAACTTAGGTTTTAAATTATCCATTAGACCAGTTCACTTGTCAAATAAGATGAATCATTACTAATAAATAATTTTTTTTGTATAAATTATAAAAACAATTTACTTTGTTGAAAGTCTCGCATTAAGACCAATTTATAATATACAAGTGGGGGCAAATCTCATCATACAAACCAGTTTTGTAGAGTTAAATTAGACTTAAAATTCACTTATCAATTAGAGATAAAATCAATTTATAATATAAAAATAACTATAAATCTCACCTTTAGAATCGATTTTGTGAAATTCAATTAAACTTAAAATCTAATTCTTAACACACATAAATACCTTTTTTTAATCTTCCCATAATACCCAATTTCTCTAACCTAAACATTTTAAATTTGCATTTAGAGAGACATTAATTCATAAGTCCATAACCACAGATATATGCAATCATTACTCTTAAGCCAAATCAGAATAATAGTGATATAAATTATTTAACAGTAAAAAAAATATGAATTTATAAAATATCAACATGTTAATCTAGGGCCACCACAGTTACGTATTGAATATTCTTTGACAGCGATGGGAAGCTTCATTCATGATGCGGGAAAAGGAAAAGAGACTTATTTATATTGAAATAAATGAAGGTCCTTTTTATTAAAAGAAAGAGGAGTGAAATTGAGTGCATGAGGGAGATAAGAGGGTAAGTAATTATTATATATTCTTACGAGTTAAGACTGAAGACGTTTAAGTCAGTCAATTTAGAACAAGATAAAGAAACAACCAACCACCATTCCAATTTCCTTTTATCGTTTCTCACCATCCACACGCAACTATATAGTGGAGGCATTGCATATTCAATATTCTGCCTGACTCTGAAATTCAACCATCAATTCTTCTACAATTAGCGAGAGGAAAGGTAGGTTTGATGGTGAGTTAGCTAGCTCATCAAATTAATTGTCATTTTCTGTCATCTCAACTTTTTCTTTTGATCATATAACAGATCAAGCTCAGTAACAGAGCTCACAATTGAATTTGTGTCTTTGTGATTGAGGATGAAGCAGAGAAAGGAAAAATCAGAAGGTGATGTTTATGAATCTATGGCGGAGGTGGTTCCTAGGTCACCGGTTCCGCCGCCGCCACCACCTCCACTTCCAAAATTCTCAAAACGAAAGCCAGAAGAGAGTGTCACAAACCGAGAAATTGCCAGGTTTTGGAGGCAAAAGAGGATCGAGGAAGAGGACCACCTCCTTGCTGCTATCAAAGCTGCTGCTAGACTCCGTGCACGCAATCTCACGGTAATTATTAATTATCATTTATGTTTCATAATTCAGTGCTTAAATGCACAAAACTACATTCAATATGAATCAAGCATGCAGTAATTAAAATTTAGCCATTATTTATTCAATCCTCTCTCATGAATGATGTATATCTTAATTGGCCTTGTTGTTCCACAGAAAGAAAACTGTTTATTCGTGGAGTTGATTAATTACTTTATACATGTGATATTATTGTGATTCTTCTTTTTTGCGTAATTTTGTTCTGTAATTAATGTCTTACAGGAGCAAGATTATCAGAGATTCGAGTTGTCCCTGAAGACCGATAATGACTATGCTGAAACCGAGAAAGAGAGTGTGAAATGGAAAGGAGAGACAAATGTTCATAGCAAAACTCTTGCTAAGGACCAAGAAGTGCGCGTTGGAATCAAGGATTGGTCAGTATATTTTATTTGTATTAATATTTAGAATTTAGAATACACAATGTGTAAATAATTTTTTTTTTCAGAAAAGAATAGAGTATAATGAAAATTGATTTATAACAAAAAATATATTAAACCATCAAGACTTTATTTAAGTATATTTAACTTTTTAATATTAAAAATAAATTTAATAATGTAATACAATTTTAATAACGAAAAATTATAAACATTTAACTTATTTTTTATATTATGGTTGTTTAAAGTTTTGACAATTAATCAGACTTTATTACGAAAATACTTGGATTAGTTATTCCGTAGAGGTAATTATTATTCTTTCAGAGTTTTGTTTTTTTCAAAAGTAATTCATAGAAAATGAATGGTTCGACAGGGAAAAACGGAAGAGAGATTTAAGTTCACTCCATTGTACAAGAATATTTTATTCTACTAGGTTATTGGCCCTTCTATTCCAGATAGATGCAGCAAGTTGCAGTTTCTATTCAATGGTTGACGTGGGGCTGTGGGGTTAAGATGACACAAAAAAGTATTAAAACATAGACATAATTAATCATTTTGGTTGAATCTTAGGCATCTTATTATTTTAACTACGAAATATTTTTGTTTTTATTTTTATTATTTTTAATTATTTTTCTTCTAATATTTTTGTTACAAAACTTAAATATGAAGTAATAATGTTGATTTTAGGATATATATGACTGACTGGACAAAATGATGTACATAATCGGAAATTGAGAGATGGGACGAATCATAACAATGTATCTGGACTACAAAAATTGCTTCACACTTTTGATTTCCATTGGTAGGATCCCACCATGAAATTTATGATATTACTAGCTCTAAACAAAATCATA